CCTCCGGCCTGGGAAACGCCCCCAGGCTCCGCCGGCCTCGGAACCGGGTGGCGGATGTCGTGTAGCCGCCACAGCTTGTCAGTGATTTACCCTCATTCTTCAGTGTGTGCGGATCCATGAAGGGATGTTTAAACAGTAAACTTAGCCACCGGACACTTTTAAGTACTTACGAGGGTTCACGCCGTTTTTGTTTTTCTTTTATTGAAGTTGTGAATGTGCTTTATGAGGTTTGAGGAAAGCCATGGACCTAACAATCTGTGTTGCTGCCCGGCCGGCGCGTGGGTGGCGGCGCCAGGAGGCCACGGTTTGGTCAGGAAACGCTTTAGACGTTGATTGGAGCGTCACTGTCGGCTGCGCCCTGCCGGGGAGTCGGCCCTAAAAGCACTGAGGACCGGTGTGGATGCCCAGGCAGGCGACCGGCCCTACGTGGGCAGGTTCTGCCCCGCGGACCGCGGTCCGCAGGCTGGTGCTCGGAGAGGCCGCTGACGGAACTGAGAATTCCACAACCAGAGCTCCCATATTTGATGGAAACCGGTCAAGTATCATCTTATCTGCTTTTGAAGCGAACTGTAGGCCAATCCTAATGCAATGTACGCTGCTTTTCATATATCACTGAGTTTCCTTTTAGGTTCAGCACGTTTTCTATGACTTGATTGCACACCTGAATTTATTGCCAGAAAGGACGGGCCGAGTTTTCTGATGAGCCCATAAACGCCATGTTTTGCCACTATGTATCAACTAGAATGTGAAATGAATGTAGGACTTTAAAAGCATTTCGGCGGTTCTCGGTCGGCATCAGTTACTTGAAGAGCCTCCCTTCAGATCACGTCCCTCGACCTCCGCGGCTGTCCGAGAGCCTGTGGTTGCTGTGCGGAAGGTGCAGGGGATGCAGATCGCAAGTTGTTCCCTGGGGCTGGGTTCCTGTTGCCTGAACAGGTGTGGCAGGCGGCGGCCGAGCACGGCCTCTGCGTGGAACTCAACCTCCATATTCCTAGGCGCTGGGAATACTCCTGCCACGGGAAGTGACTAGTGATGCCCCCACAGGCGGCTCTCGGGCGACTCCCAGCACCCGCTCCCCAGTGTTCTGTTAAGATAATGCCTCTTCCTGGACCGGTAAACAGGGTTACCTACCTCAAGTGTAAAAACCAAGAGGGTGTTTGTAAAAGCAAATGCAGTTTCCAGGGAGTGATTTATTTTTTTAACTGGAAAATCTTGTGCTACCTGCCACTTAAATCTCTAATTCTAAATTTCTCTAGAATTTTCACAACTGAGATTTTATCATAATTAGCACATTTGTATGATGTTATTTGTAAATATTGCTTTCCCAACATTTTCTCTAGAATTCAACACTGAAAATCTAGCTTTTATACAAGTCAAACCACCATGTATTTCAATAGTGATGCTTTAAAATGTATATATGTATCTCCTAAGTATTTCATAAATATATAGTGTAGAGATTTCACTTTTTTCTAATTGAATTCATACTCAAAATTTGATCATAAATATATAGTGTAGAGATTTCACTTTTTTCTAATTGAATTCATACTCAAAATTTGATCATAAATATATAGTGTAGAGATTTCACTTTTTTCTAATTGAATTCATACTCAAAATTTGATCTGGCCTGGCCGGTGTGACTCAAGTGGTTGAGCACCAACCCATGAACTAGGTCAAGGTTTGACTCCTGATCAGGGCACATTGCCCTGGTTGCGGGTTTGATCCCCAGTGGCGGGTATGCAGGAGGCAGCAGATCTATGATTCTCATCATTGATGTTTCTATCCCTCTCTCCTTCCTTCCTCTCTCTCTGAACTCAATAAAAACTTTTCTTAAATGTGATCTCCTATTCTGCTTACTGTGTTTTAAAGTTAAAGCCTAAAATGTTACAAAGTTTCTTACTATATTCTCCGAAAAAGAATCCCTCTTCTGCTTCTCAGAATTGATATTGACCAGTGGAGGGCAAATAAAGAATATCCACAAACCTAAAAGAGTCTTGAGCCACCCAGTCATGTTTGCAGTGAGGTGCTGATAAATATGAGAAAATTATCCACTTATACTTCAGAGATCTGATACCCTGAATGGGTGACGGCCATTTTCTCACTGCAAAAGTTACAGCTTTTACAATTTTTTGCATATGCTGTTAAACTATCCCTTAGAAAAGGGAGTTTCTAAGCAGCTACTAAGACTTCCAGCACCACTAAGTTTGCCCAGCAGACTTGTCTCCAATGCCAAACTCCAAAAGAAACTTTCCTCTTATAAAAACAAAATAAGGGCCAGTATAGAAAGTGTTATGGAGCCCTTTCAAACTGAACTTTCGGCATCCATTCCAAATGGGGCCAAATGTAACATTTAAAACTAAAGGAATTTGTTGTAGACAATAACTTCCTGGCTTTAAGTTAGGACTATACTCAGCCTTATAAACGCTGGTATGGAAAAGAAAGCAATTATTGAAGTTTTACAAAGTTGTTTTAGACATTTTGGTCCATTCTTTTCAACTTAAACAATTTGTGAAGTGATGTACAGTCATCAAAACGATACATGTAGTTAATTTCTGGCTTCCATCAAGTTCCTCTAGTCAGAAACAAGGCAGTTCAAGTCTAAGGTTATTACTAGGAGATGCACCCAAGGGAGAGCCCCCCCTACTTGGATAATGAGAGTATTTTCATAGTATAATTCTCCATCTGCCAGAAGATGTTTAACCAAGGCTTTGAATCTACTTCAACCTATGTTATAGTTTTAAGGTATTTCTCACTCTATTACAAAAATACAAAATGGCTGGATGAGAATTTGTTTAAAAACAAAGTTCACTGGTGAAATTAATTTAGAGACTTAGAGCGGAAAAAAAAATGCTCACAAGGATAAGCACTAACTGTACACCCTCCACAGACCGGATGCATGGAAACTCAGGGTTTCCTTAAGGCAAGCACATCACAACTAGTTCTTTTCTGTTAATTCTTGCATAAATCACATTCTGTATTCATACAAAAACAACTTAATGTTTTTTCTCTGACAAACTGTACATATAGAAACAAATTTCCAATTGAACATGAACTTAATTTTGAGGAGGTGCTCCTTGTCTCGCAACACTTAAAAAAAAAAATTCCAGCTTTTATCTTCACAAAACAATGCAGGAGCTGGGCAGTGAGGTGGACAGGACAGACAAGGCAGCTGCTCCGGGGCCAGCAGCAGTCTCTTCACCCTGAAGACCTCAGGGGCTCCGGGAACTCCGCTGCCCCAGGAGAGTTCAGGGCTACAAGGTGCAGGCTTCCTTTTGTTTCTCTTGGTAAGTCCACAAGGAGTTTTTAAATACTGTCCAGAGAGGCCGCGGGGGACTCAACCCCAACTTCTACCGGCCCCTTCCACCACCCCTTGAAGCTCCTCGCCGTGGTGGACCAGAGTTCATGTTACTCCCTCTACTCCAGTTACTGCCACTCCGGACCCCTCTGGAAGGAGTACCACTGCCTGGAGGGCCCCCAAAAGGTTCATCTCTGTGGTATCCATCATGGTGATCTCCATCCAAGGAGCTGGAACGCCCAGATTTTGGCACTCTTTGGGAAGGTCCTGGGCCCCCTCGGCCTAAAAGGAAACATTGATTTGACGTGACTTTTTAATATCAGAAATTACTGATAACTCCTGGTACAAACTTTTACTCTGTGATGACAGTACAATACTTGTGGGTCTTTCTTTAAAACAGTTCTAAGGACATGAGCATTCAGTGCACTAAGGGTGGTGCCTCTACTCTCTTCTTGACAGCTGTCTCATTCCCAGCCTGGCTGGGGGCCATGCCCCTCCACATCAGCTAGGCACGCTCCGCAAGGCAGTGTCGTCACCCTCCTGTGCCACAGGACTATTCTGAGGGCGAGTCTGCACAGCACTGACTGAACTCAGGAAGCAGCTGCAGTGAAGGCAATTACAAATGCTAACCTAGAACACGTGTTCACTAGGGTTAGGCCACAGCCATGTGGCACTTTTGATTTCCTTTTAAATGGTGAAATAAAATATTTCTTGGAAAACAAAAGCGTAGAAAGAATAATACTATCTTTTAGAATGATTTCTCCCAGGGATAGTTTTATTTGTTCTAGTCTTGGACACACAAACTTAGGTATCATTAAAATTCTGATTTAAATTTTTTTTTCTCATGAGATGATAGGATTTGGCAACCTCCCCCATAATGCATTATCAGAAGAATATTGACAACTCCTTTTGCCTTAAATTTTTGAATGCAACTGAGTCCAGATAAGACAAAGAGGTTAGGAAAGTTAGCCAAAGGAATATTTTTAGCTTCTTTTCTTACAAAGTGCAGCCTAGACCCACAGAAGGTGCAAGGGCAAAGCAGGTGTCAGCTGGGATATAATTTTCACACTAGGCACATGGCCTCAACCAAGGACCTAAACGGTGTCCTGAGTGCCCATACCGACCAGCAGCAAAATGTGTGCTGAGACGGGGAGATCTGGTGGCAGGAGGCACATTCTGAGGGGTTTGCTAGGAGAAGGACCAAACAGCTGTCAAGAACAAAAGCCAGAACTTTGTCAGGGAGGCAGGTTACCTGGGGCGTGGAGCACAAGTTGGAGCACATGGTGGTCTTTCCAGCAGCCTCCACACCACACCCTGTACCACAGCCCTGTCTAACCTGAGACCAGACCTGTCGTTAGCATTTGGTGGCTCCTGCCCTGGCTAAACGTTAGTGCTACATGAAAAACAAAGATCCAGCCCAACTGAGTGGCTCAGTGGTTGAGCATTGACCTATGAACCAGGAGGTCACAGTTCAATTCCCGGTCAGTTCACATGATTGATGTTTCTATCTCCCTCTCCTTCTCCCTTCCTCTCTGAAATCAATAAACACATATTTTAAAAATAATAATAAAGATCCAAAAGTTGTAGAAATAATCTTAACGCCCCCACTTGAAAACAACCCCTTCCAGGCCATGTTGCCCAAAGTCTTTGTGACTGGGCACACCAGTGAAACCCTGGAGCCTGGGAGAGGACCAGTCCCCCCGCCACGCACAACGGAGACCTCCAGGGTTCCGAGCAGGCGTCAGTGCAAAAGGCACCACCAACAGCAACAGGGCTGGGCACCCTGACAAAGAGCTGAACTTGAACAAAGCAGAAGTTCTTTTTTTTTTTTTTTAAGAATTTTGAGAGAGAGAAAGAGAGGAAGGGGGAGGGATAGAAACATCCATGTGAGAGCAAAACATCGATCAGCTGCCTCCTGCACACTCCCCAGGCATGTGCCCTGACTGGGAATCAAACCATGACCTCTTGGTGCACAGGACGATGCCCAACCAACTGAGCCACACCCACCAGGGCAAAGCAGAGATTCTTGCAAGCAAGTGGAGGAGACCTGTGCAGAAGGCAAACGTGCAATCCTGAGTGAGAGCGCCGACTGCCTGAGGGGTGAGCCTAAGCAAACTGCATCTGCACCACCTTTGGGAACATGTGCCTTCCCGCAGCCTAAGCCCTGGAGGGTAGCAGAGTGCCCTGGAACAGGCATTCCCTAGGAGGGCTGCCTGGAGATGAGGCCCCCAGAGGTCCCGCAGCCTTTCTGGCAGGCTGTGGCATCCACAGCTCCCAGAACTGGAAACTGGCCTCCACTTACCTTTGCCTCCTCGATCTTCAGAAGGACCCCCGGGGGCTTCCATTTCTCTATGCTCAGAGGTCCCTGGCCCATCATGCCAGGGGCGCTTTCGAGGTGGCAATGATGCCATGTCCATGCCTTGGAGAGAAGAAGAACGCTCTCTGCTAGCTGGGGAATGACCGTCGTGAGGGGGATGGTCCGGGCGGGGAGCATCACGGAAATGGTCATGACCTGGCCCTGAAACAGAAACGCAGATGGACAAGGCTAAGAATCTGACAATCCCATTATATTACAATATGACCAACAGCGGACAGAAATTATACTGTTAAGAATTAGTAGCAGCTGAAACCGGTTTGGCTCAGTGGACAGAGCGTCAGCCTGCGGACTGAAAGGTCCCAGGTTTGATTCCGGTCAAGGGCATGTACCTTGGTTGCGGGCACATCCCTAGTGGGAGATGTGCAGGAGGCAGCTGATCGATGTTTCTCTCTCATCGATGTTTCTAACTCTCTATCTCTCTTCCTTCCTCTCTGTAAAAAATCAATAAAATATATAAAAAAACCAACAACAAAAAAGAATTAGTAGCAATGTGAGAACCAACGTTCACTCATGCAAGGAACATACCATGAGCACATATAAAAGGTCAAGATCAGAAATCAACCTACCCCCTAAATTAAGAGGCAGGTAAGGTCCAGAAAAGTGGATCTCAAACTTTTAAGTCTGAGGATCTCTTTACAGCCTTAAAAATTTCTGGGGACCCCAAAGAGATTTCATTCATGAGAGTTAAAGCTAACAATATTTGCCATATTAGCAATTAAGATGGAGAAAACTTTAATTTGCTTAACTACCTTTTCCAAAAACAAAACAATGAAGTGAAAAGAGTGCTGCTGTTTTCTATCCAGGCCAATCCCTGCAGAAATGCCCAGCTCACGGGAAGCAAGCCAGGCCTCCAGCCGTCTCTGCACTCCATCTCTCCTCGCCAGTGAGGCTGCTGGCTGGAGGCGTGACAACAGTCCAGCCTCTGGTGATGCCAGTTGGAAGAGAGAGAACCTGGTGGGCCTGGAGGGTCTCAGGCCCCAGGGTCCGGGAACTGCTGCCTGGAGTCACCACGGCCCCGGGCAGTCTCCTGCCTTACCTGGCTCTCGACTTCCATCCCAGGAGTCTGGTTTCCGACCTCCTTCAAAGCGAGGGAATTCATCAGGAGTGGGAAGTAAACCCTTCCTTCCTCCTACACAAAGAACAAAACACCACACTCACGTGCTGTGTCTGGTGTGTTCCCAACTCTGACCTCCACAGCCCTGCCCTTCACGGAGCCAGTGTCCTCAGCACATACCTCGTGGGGCACCCCGACCTCTGCCCCGGAGGTCTCTTCCACGGGCAGCTTCCTCAGAAGCATCAAAGCTCTCCTCTGGACCAAAGTCATCAGGACCAGGAAAGCCATCCCTTCCTCGGGGGGGAGCCCGGCCTTCGTGTCTCGGGGGGGCTCCTCTTCTGAAACTGTGAGGAAAGCAGCAGACCGTCACCTCATCAATATGGACCTTACAGCTCTATGTTCACATTCCAAGAAAGCATCCTATATAATAAAAGCCTAGGTGGTGTGATGCCCTCACGCAATGTCATCACAAGATGGCCGCCCTCACAAAATGACCAGCAGGGGAGGCAGTTGGGGGCGAGATCAGGCCGGCAGGGGAGGGCAATCCGACTACATCCCCCAAGGGGTCCCAGATTGGAGAGGGTGCAGGCTGGGCTGAGGGACACCCCTCTCCCATGCACAAATTTCGTGCACCAGGCCTCTAGTATGATATAAGAAGACAGGCAGGATACAAAGTTAAATGGGAGAAAAAGTAAAATTGTGCTTTTTTAAAAGTACACATTTTACAATCCCAATATTACAGGCAAAAACAGGCAGGAAGTAAACATCAGAATGTAGAATTATTTTAATATTTTTAGGCTTTGAGGAATAATAATAGCAGTGAGCATTTTTTAAGTGCTTCTATCATGCCAACCGCTTTACATTATTCATTTCATTCCACCCTCAAAACCACCCCATGAAGCTGGCATGATGACTAACTCCATTCTACCCATGAGCACACTGAGGCACAGAGTAAGTCATGGACTTAGGGACACACATAAGCACTCAGGTGTGAACTCAGCCAATCTCACCTCTCAGCCCAGGCTCTTTACCATTGCTCCCCAATACTTCTCATTATCATTGAAATTTTTGTAATGAATATTTAACACTTATAATCAGGAAAAAAAGAAAAGTGTGGGCCCATGCCTGCCAACTGTGACAGACATATTTGGGGGCCTCTGCCTTGGCCCCCACTCCAGTCTCTACACAGGGGTGGCTATTACTGTCATCCACAGCCCCGCTCCACAGCAGACGGGGGACAGCAGGCATCGGCTCATGGGCAGGCTGGTGCCCTGGCTAGTGGACAGTTTCTCTCCCTCAGGATTCTGGACTGGGAGTCAGTCAGCGGGAGTGTTGCTGAAGCTGGGGGGCAGCAAAACAGGGGCCTGCAAGCGGGAAGGGCGCGTGAGCCAGGAGGCCCCAGGCAGTGAGAAGGGTCAGAAGGCGGCAAGGGCATGGGCTGGTCCGCAGGAGCCACCTGCCCGGACTTCCTTCAGGCCAGGCCTTCTGCTTTTCCTTGAGTCTCTATCCTATTATCTTTTGCTCCATTTTACTTTGAAAATTTTCCAATTTACAGTTAAGTTGAAAAACTAGAACAAGACCATATATCCATCACCTAGATTAATCAGTTCTTATGGTTGCACACATGAGCTTTAGCTTCTCTTTATCCACCTGTTTCCAGATTCATGTTCTAAACCATTCTAAAACCAGCTGCTGGCATGTGCATCATCCCTGAATACTACAGTATGTTCCTTCTAAAAACACCGTTTCTCCTATAACATACTGTTACTACTCTAACAGGAATATTGTTTATTCTATAGTCTCATTCAACTGTCTCCATTTGTCCTCAAAATGTCCTTCACAGTTGTTTTAAAATATGAATTTCAGTCATAATCACTGATTGTCACTCATAGTCATGTTTCTGTGTTCTACTTTAATCCATAACTGTCCACCTCCCTAGTTTATCTTTTGTGATCTTGACTTGTTGAAAGGTCACCCAGGTGTTTTATAGAATGTCCCACAATGTGAACTTTTCTGATTGTTTCCTCATGATTAGATTCCGGTTAAACATCCTTGTTTCATGGATTATGATGTACAGGTGGGAGGGCCTGCACCTCACTGCACAAAGGCAATCTCCTCTGCAAGTACCTCTGTCCCCACAATCTTGTCCCCAATGGCTTTAGCTTCCAGGGATGAGCCTGGCCTGAGGTCACGTCTGAGTCATGTTCCTGCACACACAGGGGGATGACCAGCACATTGGCTGAAATAACAGCAAAAGGTAAGGGTGGAACTGGCCAGGAGAGGGGCGGAGCAGGAAGAGGAAAAGCAGACAGCACTACTGCCCCGAGAAACACAGGGGTAACCCCCAAATGCAGCAGGATTCTCACCCAGGAACCACCATGCAACTGCCCTCGTTACAAGAAAACAGAGAGAATCTAAGATGCCCTAAGCAGAAAACAGCTCCTGTTAAGGTCTAGATGTTTGTGTAACCCCCTCCCCGCCCACCACCAAAAAAAAAAAAAAAATTCTTATGTTGAAGACCTAAATGTGATATTAGGAGATGGGCCTTTGAGGTCATTAGAGTTTACTGATGGGGCCCTCATGATGGGCTCAGTGGCCTTCTAAGAAGAGGCACCAGGGAGAGCTTGCTCACTCTCCTCCAGCTGCAGACAGGGAGAGGGTGGCCGTCTGCAAGCCAGGAAGAGAAGTCTCACCAGAGACCACCCTGCTGGGTCCTGATCTGGGACCTTCAGCCTCCAGAACTGTGAGAAAAGAGATTTCTGTTGCTTATGCCTAGCAGGATGGTATTTGGTTACAGCAGCCTGAACTCCTAACAAACTGACCTCTCTCAAACGCCTCTCCTTCCTCATCGAACAGGTTCATTTCATCACATTACTGCGACACTAATGCTGCTCCAGGTGCCGCACCCTCAGGGCGCTCGGGGGTGCGAGAGGAAGAAATGGACACAGCACTCGTGTCACACGGTGCTGGTGCTGTGAGGCAATAGAAAGCAGAGTAGAGGCCTGGGTGTAGCAGGAGGAGAGGCCCACCTGAAGTGAGCCACACCTTTGGGAACCGAGTCCCAGGCAGAGGGAGCAGCAAGCACAGCAGGACCAAAAGCCTGGTGGGCATTTCCAAAGAGCAGCACGAAGCTGTAAGCAGCACCACAGTTTAGATGAAACACAGCACGAACTGAGGCTTAGTAAATCTGAAACTGCGCAAGATGCAGAGACTCAAGAAATTAAAGTCCTGTTGCTGCCAAAGCCATTGGAAATGAGGCGCCTGCAGAGACAAAAGCCACTTCAGAGTGAATACCTGGCTATCATAAAGAAAGGTCCTTATGAAAACTGGGAGCCCTGCCCTAACCGGTTTGGCTCAGTGAATAGAGCGTCGGCCTGCAGACTCAAGGGCCCCAGGTTCGATTCCGGTCAAGGGCATGTACCTGGGTTGCGGGCACATCCCCAGTAGGGAGTGTGCAGGAGGCAGCTGATGGATGTTTCTTTCTCATCGATGTTTCTAACTCTCTATCCCTCTCCCTTCCTCTCTGTGAAAAAATAAAATATATAAAAATAAAACACACACACACAAAAAAAAAACTGGGAGCCCTTAAATCTTTTTTTCCCCCCCAAAACTCCCTTCCAAAAGCTGCTTTCCTTAATCCACTATTTCACCCTCTGCAGCCCTTTTATCAGCCAACCTTTTCTAACACATCCTGTGAGGATGGGGATTGCCAACCCTTGACTCAGTCACCTCCTAGCAACACTAGTGAGAACTGTGATGGGAAGAGAGATGAGCAGAAGACTGAGGTGGAGCAGGCAGGAGTGCTGAACAGCATGGGCCCTGCAGGGCCTTCAAAGGTCAAGAAACTGCTGATTCTCAGTGTGGCCCCGTATCCGTAAAATGTTTACAGTGACACCTGTCTGACAATTCACTGTAACAACAAGGCTAAATAGCACACAGTAAATATCATCTTCATTGACTATTCTGAGTCTCTCTTGAAATTTCACTAATTCTAGTTTTTTTCTCCATATTTCTCTTATTTTTCTATTTTTCTTATTTTCCCCTCCATATTTCCTGTGTTACTTTTTTTAAATATATTTTATTGACTTTTTACAGAGAGGAAGGGAGAGAGACAGAGAGCCAGAAACATCGATGAGAGAGAAACATCGATCAGCTGCCTTCTGCACATCTCCTACTGGGGATGTGCCCGCAACCCAGGTACATGCCCTTGACCGGAATCGAACCTGGGACCTTTCAATCCACAAAGTCGATGCTCTATCCACTGAGCCAAACCGGTTTCAGCCTGTGTTACTTTTTAAAAAAATATTGATTCCACAGAGGAAGGGAAAAGAAGAGATAGATAGAAACATCAATGATGAGAGAGAATCATTGATTGGCTGCCTCCTGTACGCCTCCCATTGGGGATCGAGCCCGCAACCCAGGCATGTGCCCTGGTTGGGAACTGTGACTTTCTGGTTCACAGGCCAATGCTCAACCACTGATCCACACTGGCCAGGCTCCTGTGTTCTTTTTTTACCCCAAGCAAGCTGAGTGCTCATTCAAGACTGACCTTGACCTATTTTAACAGCACTGATTTGATTTTGTTAGGATCTTTAGGCAATTTCACAAGAACTGTCTATTGAACAATTCCTTTATTCTTCATCTATATATCTGTCTCATCTTTCATCATTCTAATCCACAGAACCTGGAAATTTCTAATCCGTTCCAAGAAACTTTGTAGTATGCAGATCTTCCCATTACTTTAAAACAACCAAAAAGATGCAAAGAAAAAATGATTTCCACATTGTAAAGACAAAAGAACCACATAAAGGTTAAAAAGCATAATTTTTTTTTAAAGTCTAAATGCAAAATGTGGAGAGTATAGGCTACAAGTGAAAAAGAGACTTAGTGGGGAAAACAGGCAAAAAGCTCCAGGGAAGAAGAAACAGACCCCACCTTTCTTCTCTGCGCCCTCGAAAACGTGGGTCCTCGGGGTCCCGGGGGAATCGCTCATCTCCAGGTCTGCGGCCTTCCCATGCCCCTGGCGGGCCCCGGGCTGCGCCCCGGCCGTCCCCCTCGCTGAACTCCCTGTGATCAGGAGGAAAGGGAGGCCCGGGCCCCCCTCGCCTCCACTTCTCTTCTTGTGGTAAAGGTCCTCCTCGCCCCTCAAAATCACGTAATCGGTGGCCAAAGCGCTTGTCAGGGTGGAAGTCATCTGGTCTGCTGAAGTCGTCAGGAAAGTCGGGGTGAGGGCCGCGTCGATCAGGGGGACCCCTGCAGTCCTGGCCGCCCCGGAACGGCCCCCTGTCGGCACCGTGCTCGGGGCCGCTGCTCTGCTCGTGCCGCCTCTCGGACAGCGGGCCCATGTGGTGGTTTGGAGGGCCCCGGGAGTCACCTATGGGAAACAAAGCTGCTTTTACCAGGTCTTCCAGGCTCTTTCATTCAGAGTCTCCCCTCCTTGGCTTTCAGCACACTGAGGAGACCACCATCTCCAAGGCATCATATAATGAGAGGAACTAGGGTTTTGTACAGATTTTAACTTCATCACCCGCCAGTTAAGCCACTCGACCTAAAGCAAATTACTCATCTCAAATGGCATTAGCAACACCCACCTTCCAAGATAGCAATTAAGTAGGAAACATAAGACAGCCTCACAGGAGTAGCCTGAGCTGAGCTCCCCTCCCTGCCCCTCTTCCCGTGCAGGCCAGGCAGCCAAGCAGAGCCTCCCGCTGCACTGGTAAGGCCTGCAGAGCCCATCACAGGGCACTGGGCCCCCTACCGCCACCTCCGACGTCACTCCTTTAACCCCTCGCTCATTTCACGTGGCCTGTTACTCACACTTTGGTTCTGGACACGCTCTTTTGTAAGGCACAGGGAGGCGCTTCTCTTCTGAGCGCCTGGGCCACGCAGCCTCGCTCTACGCTCTACGCAGGCTCCGGTTCAGTTCATGCGAACCTTTCTGCCTCTCTAGGAATGATAGCCCTCCTCTATAATATTGTCACCATTCTTTGCAAATAATATTTGGAAACCACCAAAAATTTTTTGAAATATCTGAACATGTAATATAAATTCCTGAATAAAAATGGAAAAAGACCAGTGAATTTCTGATGAACTGAGCTCACTGCCCACCTCTGGGGGATGTTTTCCTGAACGGCTGTGGCCATTTTAAACGAGCACTTATTTTGGTCAACATACAATGAAATCACATTTCTGAAAAGTGGAGAGCAAAGGGACACTCCTGCCTCTAAAACAAATAAGGGCTTAAATAAAATTCTTTTCGTTCTGCACCCTCGCAATAAAGATGAGCTGAATTTTGTTTCCAGGTATCATAGTCAGCCATAATTCCTACCCTTCCAATGTCCTTTCTCTTACATTTCTGTCCATTTCAATCCTCCTCACCATTCAAACTTGGAAGTTTCCATATGAAAATACAGCATCTGAAGAATTCTCTCCTTCCCTCCATGAAACCAGCCCTCTCCATCATGCTCCGACCCGCCTCTTGGTTCAGCTTGCAAATGCCCCAGACCTGTCTCCTAATGGAAGACAGCCCCCACCTCTCAGTATCCCTGACGTACGTCTTCGCTCTGACATTATGCTGCTGGAACTGGGTGTGACCTCTGACCTGAGGAGCTGAGCATATTCCACTTGGACTTACCTATGAAGACTAATCTTCCCATGACTCTTTCTGTCTACAGTCCCCTGTTTATCCAGGGAAAGAAACCCACCACTACCAGTTAGAAGGGACGTGGCCCCCGGGGATGGGGCAGCAGCGCAGGTTAGTCCGGTAGGGGACGGCAGGGCCCCTTTTTCGGCTCTCCCTTCTCCCTTTTGTCCCTGGGAGGAAAAAGAGAGGAGGAAGGAGGAAAGAGAAAAGAGAAGAGGAAAGAAAGAGAAGAGGGGAAGAACAAGGAGGGAAACAGGCTGAGAAAGACACAGGGCGGGGGAGAGGGGAAGAGGAGGCGCTCAGCTTGCTGACGGCTGTACCTTGTGGATAAATGACTCTTCTTTCTTACAGCCCCCAAATTCAAAGATGGTCCTTCATGCTTGCTTTCTCTTACTTTCCCTGTGGGCCACCCCTCCATAGGATGGGATTAAATAAGCATCTAATTCTTGTATTCCTTCCTTTATCCCTACATCTAATATCTCATATACATTCAATCAAGCTTTAAATTCCCCAAGTGCTAGGGCTGGAAATGCTGACAAGGACTTATCTTCATCTGATAAAACCACAAGAACCCTAACATGAACCACAGGATGCTGTGGGCTTAGCCAATTTAAAAAAAAAAAAAAAAAAGAGGAAAAGGAGGGAAGTTCTTTGAACAGCCACCTGCACAGAACACAGGCTCTGTGGTTTGTCCTCCCACTGAATGTACCACTGCACCTCCTACTTTGCCCCCACACCCTCCCAGCCCTCCCCTCACCTCTCGAGCAGCCTGCAGCCTCTACATCCCTGCTCCAGCTCTTCCTGCGGGCGCAGGAGAGAGCTTACCCCTTTGGGAACAAGGACTCTGGCTCCCAGCATGTGCTCTTTCAAATCCTAAGATTAACACCTAATTTCCAAATAGCTCCACATCTAACTAAACCAGTGATGGCGAACCTATGACACGCGTATCAGAGGTGACACGCGAACTCATTTTTTTGGTTGATTTTTCTTTGTTAAATGGCATTTAAATATATAAAATAAATATCAAAAATATAAGTCTTTGTTTTACTACGGTTGCAAAGATCAAAAAATGTCTCTATGTGACACGGCACTAGAGTTAAGTTAGGGTTTTCAAAATGCTGGCACGCCGAGCTCAGAAGGTTCGCCATCACTGCCCTAGACACTGGCATCCTCATCTCTGTGCTCTCCGACAGTATCCACCACCTGAGGCGTGGCAGGTCGGCGTGCTGCCCCATTCTTTTCAAGTGGCTCAGAACAATGTAACCAGCTAAACAATCCAATACTTGATACAATTTGGAGGGAGAAGGGGATGATATTAAAAACACTTAAAATCTCGGAATTCTTTATCCCATCAAAACATCTAGAATGCCCAGTTCAGCTCTCAGCTGCTCGTGTGCTGGAGGCACAGCAGCATCCCATCCCCGAGGCGGACAGGCCTCCGGCTGCTGCCTGAGCAGGTTTCTGGCTAATGAAGCAAAGCCATGGTGAATGCATCAGCAGACAGAACTGTAGCCTGAAGTGGCTGTGCTCTTGTTTTTCCTAGAGGTTCAAGTGACCATTCTATCAAACACTTACCAGTAAAGCTATGCATTGTAAAAAAAATTTTTTTTTTCTTTCTGTCAACAGTAAGGTTGACGCAAAGGTGGTGAAATACAACCTCTTACCCCACCAGCAGATATTTACCTTTGTTAGGGCCAGGTCCTTGTCCAGGGTTAAGAGGGGGGATGCGACCTTGTGCTCCCTGCTGCCCTAGGCCTGGGATCAGGGGTGGGGGGCCTGTGCTCTGTCCTTCCTGAAAAGATGTTTTTAAAGAGGGAGTGTGAAACCACAGTTTGTGCTTTGTGAATAGCAATTGTATTATAAGTGACAAGAGAAAAACATTGTTTCCCCAAAGCCACCAGCAGTAAATGTATAGCTAGTGACATCAGAGCAAAACTGTCCTTAAATTCAGAGAGATACTGCTTTTACCATAATAAGAGGAAACACACCTATTTCAAACCTGCTGATAGGTTTTATTTAAAGCTAAATCTTGACTTCTTAAGCTAAACAGGAACGTCAATGGGAAGCGAGAAATCGTGAGGTAGTGACAATACCCCGCACAGAGGCCCTCCCGGCAACAGGGAGACCACTCTTCGGGGCGCCCCATTCCTCTCTCTTCCAGCCACAAAACAGCAGGTGGCGGGGCTGGGTGTGAAAAGGGGAGTGGAGAACAGAAAGGGCTGGGCTCCTGCCAAGGGAGGTGTCCACACCAGCTTGCTCCTTTCACATGCCCCGCATCTCCACCTACTGCTCATTCCCTGCTCCATCACCTGGGATCTTGTGGATTCATTTGGTTCTGGCAGCTTCTATCTTAATACAAACCTGCTGCTCTGATGCTTTTATCTCCTTGCTCTGGACCCCAAGCTTGTCCCTAGTCCTCATATTCAGTATTTTTATCTAGCCAAGTCTAAATTCTGATTTCCCACACTGTCCAATGACCTTGGATCAGGTCTGTTGACAAACACACATACCTTCTATGAAAATAGCACAGTTTCAAAAATCAATAGCAAAATTGTATTCACACTCCAAACTAGCTGGCATGAAAGAGCAGCTCTCACTGCAGGACACCACTATAGCTATAACAATAACACCAGTAATTTCTATATTTGTTTTTTGTATGTTTCATCGCCAAACAATTCATGCTGTTAATACCTGACAGCAATTCCAGTAAATTAAACCAATTTAAACAATTGGTTTAAATAATTCGCCTGGTCAAAGTGAAGAAAGTATTTCAGTAAGTGACAAACATGAGCAAAGATCTCATCAGGCCAACTTCTGAGATGTGAAATACCCTATTTCAAATATTCATTCCATCAATATTTCTATATGTCAATTAAATCTTTACAGCATTATGCTTTGCATTTATAAAATATTTTAGTACATGATAGAATAAAACTTATTAAAAAGTGCACAATAAATTCTGGAAGTAAACTCAAATACCATCAGATTCTTCGCTGCTATAAAATTTCTCAGTTCTGGAAGATCTACTGAACAGTACCACTTAATCTTATTTAGCTAGTTCTTTTACTTCTGAAAATCCAGCGGTCATCTTCACATGACAAATGCTCAGAGCTGTTAACAGAGTGCTTTCTACACAGTGTCCACTGTACGGCCTTTCCACGGCAATGGAGGCCCGGGACTCACATCCTCTGAAAGGTGCAGGAGCACACACCCGAGAGGCCAGCGTGTTAACCCTTCCCTGCTCATGCAGTCCTTCTGTACGTCTCCCCAAGCAACCTGAGCACTATAACTTGGCCAATAAAAGCCGAACTGTCAAAAAAAGGTCAAGAAAAATTCCACAGAAATATTCCCTCACAAATATTCTTGTAAGCTGAAAACAACTTGGACAGAATTCTGTCCACAGGGTCAGAATTTGAGAATGTGTAATTCTGGCCTGAGAACTAAGGTCTACTGGGGCCTTAAACACCTATCTGAAACAGTGGAGCTAGCAGGCCACGCTCCAAAGGACCCAGAAAAGGGAGCACAACAGGCTGGCAGTCCCCCAGCTTCCTCCCCAGGCCACAGCTCTTTTGGAGGCTTGGAACAATTATCAACTAGATTCCATCTTTTCTGGAAGAACATCTATTGAAATACAGGTTGAGAAGTTAAGATTCACACTGCAATACATGTGATGGTCTATTTCATTTTCTTGTCTCCCACTTCAGCTGTGATGCTCTTCTCAGGCCGTTATCACCACCTGAGAGGCATTCCCGTCAGCTGTGCCGCATCTTCCCAAAGGGTAATGCCCACAGTTCGAAAGAAAGAATACCTGATTGAAGGGGGCCCGGGGCCCATCGCCCAGTAGAGCTGTTTTCTGCTGCTGGAATGGCATTTGCCCTTGAGACGGATGTGGCCCGCGGGCAGGGTTCTGCTGTCCCTGAGGCCCAGGGGGCCCCTGCATGCCACCTTGGGGTGGAGGCCCCAGAGAGCCCTGGGGCGGCCCCTGCTGTCCTTGTGAGCCTGGTGGTCCTCGCAACTCCTGGGGAGGGCCCAGCATGGACCCTTGAGGTGGAGGCCCCTGCATGGCGCGCATCTCCTGAGGGCCTCGCATCTCCTGGGGGCCTCGCATCTCCTGGGGGCCTCGCATCTCCTGGGGGCCTCGCATCTCCTGGGGGCCATGTCCCAGTAGTCCACTTGGAGGATGAGGTCTCATCTCTTGAGGTGGGTGGCCCATCATCATGCCTTGGGGAGTAGGACCCTGATTCTCTCGAGGGCCTGGAGGACCCTGCATTCCTCTTGGATTCAGTCCCATCAGAGGTCCCTGAGACACGGGACCTTGGATCCCCTGAGACCCGGGCCCGCCTTGTATTCCATGAGGATGAGGAGGTCCTTGCATTCCTCTGGGACCAGGTGGCCCCTGCATACCTTGAGTACCTGGAGGCCCCTGAGGGCCCATATGCCCCTGGGGACCAGGTGGGCCTTGGGGGCCGATGTGACCTTGTGGGCCAGGTAGGCTTTGAGGACCCATATGACCTTGAGGACCAGAATTACCCTGTGGCCCAGGTGGTCCTTGAAGTCCCAAAGGGCCATGAGGTCCAGGATGCCTTTGCATTCCTTGGGGGCCATGTATGTCCTGAGGCCTTGGCAACCCTTGGGGTGGGCCCTGGGGCCCTTGTGGTCCCATGAATCCTTGTGGCCCTCCACCTCCCTGATGCAATGGAGGACCTTGTGGTCCCATTTGTCCCTGGGGTCCAGGGGGTCTGAACTGTCCCTGTGGACCTGGAGGCCCCATTTGAGCCATGTTCATTGGCAACTGCTGAGATGAATGGGGCTGTTGAAAACCTTGAGGAATCTGAGACATTGGACCTTGTCCTGGAAAGGGCTGGGGTCCAAGAAGAGGGGTACCAGATGCAGGAGGAGGCTGAACTTGCTCAGCCTGTTTTTGTGCAAGCCTTTCAATTTTAAGTTGCTGGAAAGAAAAAAAGAAAAAGCATAGTGAAAAGTAAGACAGAAGATGACAATGTGGCTGTCACTTATTTCATTGGGGAACCTCAAAACAAACACGAGGCATCAACCTCTTAAAGCCCCAGCAGTAACTAGAGTCCATATAACATTCAGACGTACAGATGGTGCTCAGGCCTCCAGACTCACTCTAGACCAGCGGTTCTCAACCTGTGGGTCGTGACCTCTTTGGAGGTCGAACGACCCTTTCACAGGGGTCACCTAAGACCATCGGAAAACACATACATAATTACATATTGTTTTTGTGATGAATCACTATGCTTTATGTTCAATTTGTAACAATGAAAATACATCCTGCATATCAGATATTTACATTATGATTCATAACAGTAGCAAAATTACAGTTATGAAGTAGCAACGAACATAATTTTATGGTTGGGGGTCACCACAACATGAGGAACTGTATTGAAGGGTCGCGGCATTAGGAAGGTTGAGAACCACTGCTCTAGACTAACTCTTCTTAGGTGCTGGGAAACAACAGTCAGGCTTATGTACATCCATCTTGACCAGGAAAAGCCCAAAAATTTACCAGTTTTTTGTTATTCTTGGTAGCTGTCAAGGTAGGAAAACTAAGAACAAACCACCTGCTTTAGAGCCGACAGAAAATGAAAAATTATTTTATCTGGGGATAAATAAGTGAATTTAGATTTAAACTTGATGGCTTTCTCTTTTCTACTAAAAGTGTATATTTAACTTAGGTCTACTCACTGCTTGACTGCTCTAGTTAGAAACTAGCTCCTCCCGTAGAGGAGGAAGGGGTGGTGCTTAGCAGACCCTCTGAGAGGCCCGTCCCTTCTCCCTAGGAGCATATCAATAATGTCAGCCCTACTTCTTACAGCATCTGGAACCCCCCAAAGAGCTTACCTCTAGAAGCTGCGGGTTAGTATACTGTAATGTGGCCATTTCTTGCTCAATTTCTGCTTGCGTTTTTTTCTTCTCTTCCAATTTAATGTCCTCTTTTCTGTCATTCAGTACCTCGTTTGGGGCAGGAATTGGAACTTTATTTTGCATCCAAGCCTTGGGAAAGAAGAAAATATTAAAATATGCCCTAAATGTGTAATTTACAATGGAAGAATGAGAAAAACCATTCTATCATGTCATTCATTGGCTCATTCCAACTTTCTAAATACAAGGTGGCTCACCTGGTGCACTGTCTTTATTTCTGATGCTAATTCTTAGTGACACATGAGTGGGATTTGGCAAGCACATGACTAGGTAGTAATCACTAAATTACTAAAAGCGGTTAGATCTGGCATGTTATTAAGAATGTGAAGCTCACCTGCCTCTTCCAAAGGACCCCCCCTCCCCCGTCCCCACCTTGTGCTGAGGTAACCAACAAAGCAGAAGACAGGCAATGCAGAAGAGAGTTGATGCACTCTCTGTGCTCCGGCCTCTTTTTCTTCCTTCCTCCAATAGCATCGATGATAATAAGGAGGTGAGAATAATAAAAGATCTGGAGAAGCCTCATGACAAACTCAGCACTAAATGCAAAGCAGTAGATGGGAACTACATCTAAGAATGCCTGAAATATGTGAAAAATGCTCTAAAGGTCAACAGCACAGAAATATCGCCAACAACGAGAGGATGCAGAGAGCCCTGTTTCTAAACTTCAATCCGACTCCCCGAGTAGCACCACCTGTGCACGAACGAGATGGCCACTGACCTGCTGGAACTGCGCAGGGATGGGCTTTGCATAAGGAACTTTCTTCTGAGGCACTTTTTTCTGATCCTTTTGCATCACTTCCTCCATTCCCCAATCTAAACCTGGAATTGTCATTTCAATTTCATTTGACTCATCTTTCCCTGTAATCATAAAGATAAGTAATTAGTCAAGGAAATAAAAGAAAGTGGCCATTTCATCAATGAACACATTTTTGGAAGAATAGATTAAATGTTATACAGTTTACATTACTTATATAAACATTTCTTTAAAAAAATGGCATTATCAAAATAACTTAATATCATAAAGATAAGAAACAGACCTATAAAAATTTTCTAAAAATAGAATTTATAGGTATAATTTCTCTTACCCATCTGCTCTTGTTCCATGGCTAATTTAAGTTGTTCTGGTATTCCCATCCCTGGGATTACTGCCAGGCTATTAGGTTCAAGGTCATCTATAAATAGGAATACATCCACTATCAATAGAGATTTTATAAATGTAGTGGTCCAATAAAATTAGAACTTTTATAAAAATGAAACTTATTGGTGGTTTACAAATCAATAAACTATAAAACTAAAATTCATTTTGTAAAATCTTCTCAATACCTAACACTTTTATAACAGACTCTCTCATTTTAAAGAAGGATAAACGTGCGGAGCCTCACCATATTCTACTCCATCTTCTGACATTCCTGGTAATAGGTTTAGATTATAGCGATCACGCATTTTATCACCTGGTCGGTTTCGGGTCCAGAATTTGCTGCAAAATAAAAGTAATGGATGGGAAAGGCAAGGAGCATGAGCTCAGTATATTTCTGGGCACTTAAGAGTACAAACCAGTCCTCTGGTAAACACAATTTTACAAAGCTTTTCTTCTAAAATTTTAAAATGCAGAAAGATGTTTTTTAATCAGAAGGCAACACAAAATTTGAATAACAAAGTCATATTCAATACTCAATCTCCTTCTCATAACATCTACACTAATAAAAGAGAAAAATGGTAATTGGTGTACGACGCTACCCTTTTCATTGGCTAATCAGGGGGATATGCAAATTAACTGCCAACTCAGATGGCAGTTAACTGACAACAAAGATGGCGGTTAATTTGCATATGTAGGCACAATGCAGGGAGGTGAAAGGGAAAGCAGGAAGGAGCC